TGTTTGTTAAAGCCCTCCATTTACATTATTTCTGTTATCACAGCACTAGATAACTAAGTCAAAATTTGGTACCAGAAAGTAGGAGTGTTACTGTAACAGATAACTAGAATGTGAAAGTTGTTTTGGAATTGGGTAATGGGCAGAGGCTGGATGAGTTTTAAGAAGCTCTGGTGGCATAGTGCTTAAGGCTTTTGACTGCTAACCAGGTCAGTGGTTCAAACCCACCAGCCATTCTGTGGCAGGAAGACTGGGCAATCTACTTCCGTAAAGATTTACCACCTTGGAAACCCAATAGGGGGTCTCTATGAGTCAGAATTGACTCGATGCCAGTGAGTTTGATTTGGTTTTGGAATAGTAAAAGCCTAGATTGCCTTGAAGAGACTGTTGGTAGAATTATGGACGTCAAAGGTAGTACTGATGAGGGCTCAGAAGGAAGTGAGGAGAGCTATAAAGTTTCTATCATCTTAGAGAACACACATGGCACCAGCAACCAAATGTTGCTAGAAATGTGTACATCAAATGTGTTTCTAGTGAGGTTTTAAAGAAAATGATGAATATGTGCTTGGACAATGAAGGAACGGTGATACCTTTTATGCAGTGGCAAAGATTTTGTCTGAATTATGTTCAAATGTTGGTGGAAGCTAGAACCTGTAAGTGATGAACTTGGAAATCTGGCTAAGGAGATGTCTGAGCAAGATCTTAAAGGCACCATGTAGTTTCTCCTTGCCACTTACAGTAAAAGGTGAGAGGAAAGAGATGGACTTAAAAATGAACTACAAAATGAAAATAGAACTTAAAGATTTGGAAAATTCTGTTGTATAAACTAAGGACACATCCTAGGATGCTCACTAAGGATGAGGCTACAACAATCTTTGTTAAGGAGATTAAGCCTGTGACTGAGAGATCTAACCAACAACCGCAGCAGATAATGGATCAGTTTAGACGAAAGAGGACAGAGAAAGAACAAAAAGAAAGAATGCTGTCTGCTTCTTGGAATTCTACAAGCAGGAAACAGCTACACCTGTTGTCCTCCAAGAAAAGAAAAGGCTCATTCCTGGAGCAGCTTGGAGATCAGCAGAAGTGTTGAAAGGAGCATGGGAAGTAGGGCCTTCTCACAAAGGGTGGGGCCATGGTCTCCCCGATCTCAAAGGATGGGGCCACAGCCTACTACGTTTCAAAGAGTCCAATCTTTGCCAACTTGGTTCCAGAGTGTGGGGCTGCTGTTAAGGTGTGCCAAAGGGATGGGGCCGCCATGCCTAAGGGGAAGAAAAACAGGGCCTGTAAGGGCTAAGGTTGTGAGGTCACCATTAAGATGGTCTAGGAGAATGGGGCTACTCAAAGCCAAGGGAGCTGAATTGTCATCCCCGTGGGCTTGGAAAGCAGAGCGGAAGCACAGGGTCAAGAGGCCTCCATCCTAGATCTAGAGAGCCAACACCCAGCGTCTGAAGGGCAGGACCATTGCCCGGATGGCCTCAGAGAACAGAGGATTATTTTCAAGGATTGAGAGCTAATGTACCTCAGAGATATTGTGGGTTTAGTTCCACACCACTGCAATAAAATGAGTATCATAATAACACAAATCACATGAATATTTTGGTTTCCCAGTGCATATAAAAGTTATGTGTACACTATACTGTAGTCTAGTAAGTATGTAATAGCAATATGAAAAAGTTTTGAAATATTGTGAGAATTACCAAAACGTGAAACAGAGGCACAAAGTGAGCACATGCTGTTGGAAACATGACACCAACAGACTTGCTTGATGCAGGGTTGTTTCAAACCTTCAATTTGTAAAAAACACAATATCTATGAAGCACAATAAAACAAAGTACGCCTATAAGTTGTTCTACTGAGCTTTGGGCTTACTTGGTACCTGTTATCCCTTCTTTTCCTCTAATTTCTCCCATCCACAATGGATATATCTACCTTGTACCTTGTCTTCCATTGAACTTTGGAAGCAGATTACTGACATTCTAGATTTCACAGGTTCATATGTAAAGAAGAATATTGCCCCAGGATGGAAAGCAACTAAAATCTCACCCATATTTGATTTATGCTTCAGATGATGAGATTTTGAACGTGGAGTTAATTTAAGACTTTTAGGATGATGTGATGGGGTGAATGTATTTTACATGTGGCAAGGACATGAAATTTGGGGGGGGCAAAGGGTGGAATGGTAGAGATTAAATTGTGTCCCCTGAAAATATGTACTGTAAATTCTAATCTCTATGCCTGTGGTTATAATCTCATTTGGGAATGGGTTGTCTTTGCTATGTTAATGAGGCAGGATTAGTGTAAAGTATGTCTTGAATTAATCTCTTTTGTGATATATGGGAGATTAAACAAGCAAGTTAAAGAAGCTGAGATGAAAGGAAGAGAGATGCAGAGCCACATGAAGACTGCACAGGAGCAGAAGCTCAAAGAGACAAGGAGCTTCCTCTGAGCCCACAGAGAAAGAAAGCCTTCCCCTAGAGCCAGAACCCTGAATTTTTACTTCTAGCCTCCTAACGATGAGAAAATAAATTTCTATTAAAGCCACCCATTTATGTTACCTCAGTCATAGTAACACTAGACACCTAAGACACCCATCTATCTAATCTCACCTCCCACTCTCTACTGCCCTCGCCCTTCATCACAGCCAAAGCTCCCTGCGTTTTCTTGCCACCATATCTTCTGGTCACAAGGTTCAGTCTATAAGAATTTCATGCTACCATTGTCTTTGATCATCTCCCCCCCATTCATCCTTTAAGCCCCTCCTCAAAAAGCCATCCTTCCTGGCAGTTTACTCCCTCCCTGCTCTGTACTCCCATGGCTTACAGCCCAGACCTCTATGACCCTTTCTGCTCTCTGGGGTTGTGTGCTTTATACGCCCTGCTAGACTACAAGCTCCTTAAGGTCAAGAAGCATATCTTGTTCTGCTTTGGATTCTATCTTGTTGTTGTTGTTGTTGTTGTTATGTGCCGTCGAGTCGGGCAGACTCATAGCAACCCTACCTTGGGTTTCCGAGGCAGTATCACTACGGAAGTACATTACCCCATCTTCCTTCCGAGGAGTGGCTGTTGGGTTTGAACCGCCAACCTTCTGGTTAGCAGTCAAAAGCCTTAGGCACTAAGCTACCAGAGCTCCTTTGGATTCTATAGCACCAGGCCTTTCTTGCAACTGATGTGTAAAAAAGGTTCATTGAACTAAATAGACCAGAAACAATGAATGTGATCAACTGTTCGGAGAGGAAGGTGCTCTGTTCTGGGCCAGTCCAGCTTGGCCCTGGGTTGCTACAGCTTCATGCCAAGGCCTTCCTAGCCCCAGCCTCCCTTCATGCCCCATAGGAGGAGCCCAGGAAGTAGAGGGTATGCTGGGCCCCAATCTCAGGCCAACGGGGAAAGAGTAAAAGTCATTACAGAGGGGCTTCTGTGGCTTCCCCCAGCCCCCTGGATACCTCACACTCTGCAAAAATAAGAAGTGATGGATGATTTAAAAGAGAAACCCTTTAGGGTTTGAGGTAGAATCTTCTAAAGCACTCAGGGCGCCAGAGGGCTTGGCTCAGGATTGAGTATGGGAAGCCCCCCGGGAAAATTGGGACTTAAGGCTTTTACTCAGCCTCCCCCTGCCCATCAGTGGCTGCCGCCAAAACAACCACAATGAAATTGAGTGGCAAAGGCCGTGGCAGCCAAATGGGTTTGAATATTTTGGAAGAAGGAGAAATAGAGCCAGACAAGCTGTTTCCCTGTGAAACGAGGCCATTAGGGCTTCTGGAAGGAGGCCAGCACCAGGTCATCACTGTCTTGCCAGACCTAGGCCTCTTATCCACTCCATCCCTCCACTGAAGGCCAAGGCTCTTTCATTCTCTTCATCCATAAGCCTGAGCCCAAGGAACCTTGTACCATGGGCTTAGGGAATCCCAGCTTTATCTTTTTTCTATTTCTTACCCTCTAAAGTGACCCTCATCAAGGGCTTGTCTATAGTTAGGATGACCTTATCATTTACTGTCCAAACACAACATTTTTGAGATTAAAAGGAGATGCTGACTGACCAAGATGCAGAAACGACAGGTATAAAGTGAGACTATCTTGGGCTAATGGGATGTACAGTCACCCCCTTTATGCTCATCCTTAGTGGATTCTGTCCACTTCATGGGAGATACCCTTAAAACCACACACCTTCAGTAGGCCAGGTTACATCTTCTTCAGTGGGGACCCTGAGAGAACTGGGGCAGGAAGTAGGCTGCAGACACTGCACCTCTGCTTGTCGCCCTGGGCCCTGGCCTCATGCACCAGAAGGGAACCAAATGCTTACCAAGGGACTCCTAATGCCACAGTCGGTGTGAAACACCTTTCCCTGAGCTCCTCCCCACCATTCTCAATGGAGGAAAGACTTCAATCTCTCTTCCTTTCAGTGGCCCCCTTATTTCATTTTTCCTAGCCCCTTCCTCTCCTTCACCCCCTACTCCCTTTAACTGCTCAACACCCTGCTGCATCATAAGGTATCCCAAGAGGAATTTGAGTGCTGTTTTCTCCCATGGAGAAGAGTCAAGGGACCAGCTTCCTGGATAGTTTACTGGGGCAGTGTCCAGGTGTTACAGAGAAAAGATACCTAGGTCAGCTGCAAATGACATTGCTCTCCACCTCCTGCTGGGCTGAAATCCAGTGAGGACAAGACAGATTGGCCTTTCATCCTCAGGTCAGAGACTAGCTGTCCCCCAACCTCCAGAACCTTCCCAAGGTAAATAGCTCACACTCCTCTTGGCATCCCACAGGAATTGATGAGTGAGTCCCAGTGGAAGGTGAGGCAGTCAGGGCTGCTGAGCAGATGGTGAAGCTAATGGCCCCACCAGCAGCCTCCCTCCCTCTCTCCAGGAGCCAGCAGGGCAGTGGGGGGACCTGGGCTTTGCTACTAAAATTGATCTCACGGCAGAGCAGCTGCAAGGCTGGGCCGAAACCGGAGCTCAGAGACCAAGGACAAAGCATGCAAAAGGGAAGCCAAACCTCTTCCCTCCTCCCTACCTTCATCACGTTTCCTCTTCTCACCATTGGAGCGAGGAATCCCCAAGATCCCATTGATGGAGTAGGATCCCACTGGATCATTGGAGGCGCTGGAGACAGGAGGGGAGGCCGTACTGGGAACTGGACAAGAGGAAGGAGAACATGCCATAAGGAGAGCAACTGTGACCTCAGGCCAGAGCCCCAGGGCTGGAGGCAGAGAAACAGAGCAAAAGAGGGGGTGGGGCTAAAGGGGGAACATGGTGCTACATATAGTCTTGGCTATTCAATTTTGCCCAGTCCTGGGCTGAATGGAGACTAGTCAACCCCAGGCCTCCTCAGCAGACCTAGGTTTTACTCAGGTCCTTGAACTCTGAAGATAGATGAAGTGCAGGCCCAGGAAGACACCAGAACTAACTCAATCTGGAAAGTGGTTCCATGTTCTTCTTTCTAGACAGCACACTCCTAGGCTGCCTTCCTCACAGCTTGCCCAACCCCTATGGCTATGCAAACCCCTCCAGCAAACCCCAGCTCATCATTCCTCAGTGGTTGTGCTGAGTCTTTACCAGTCCTGATTTAAAGTCTGTGGTTTTCTAAGAGCTGCTTCTGCTTCTCCAGAAGACACAGAATGGTCCTGATATACCCCGGAGGTGCATAGCTCCTCTCCCCAAGTTGCTTCTGGTCTTAAAACCACCTGAGCAGTTCCTAATCTTCCCCTCAGGGCACAGACTAGCGAACCTGTTCACTGAGCAGTGATCGGCTCAGGTACAGGCTGGCCTCACCCTCCTTTCCAGCACATGCTGTTATGCAGGCCTAATAAACAACAGCTCCTGCCAACTCCAGGAGGGCTGGGACCAGCCATTGCTACTTCCTGCTGGTCAAGAGAGAAGTGAACAGCTGCCAAGAGGGGTAGCAGGAAAAGTTTAATCACATCCCAGCCCCTCAAACCCCAGACCTTAAATATGACTATAGCAGCATCAAGTACTATTGAGCCTAAGAGAAGCCCAAGTAGTGTGTGGAGGCAGGGCCTCTCAGGTGTTCTGAGAGGCCTGGTCACATCTCGGAGAGGTCACGAGAAAGGATGAGTAAATGAGGCAGACACCAAAGGGTAGAGAACTGCAGAGTGAGCGAGACAGAAACAGAGAGATTGCAAGAAATAGGCCAAGAGAAACCAGCTATGAGGGAAAGGGGGAGACAGAGACACAATCCAGAGTCACACAATGGGAGAGGTGAGAACAGAGGGAAGAGAAGACGGGGAGGGGAGGAAAGAAGAGAAAAGGATAATTTTTAAAGTTTTTAAAAATAGAAAGATGGAGTAAGAAATTAGATATGAAAGAAAGAGTGGCAGGGACGGAGGCAGGATCAGATGGAAACAAAAGATGAAGGAGTGGAAGTAAGAGAGACAGGAGAAGAAAAAGAAATCCTAGAAGAAAAATAATGATTTCAGAGAGAGAGAGAGAGAGACTGACTGACTAACTGACCAAGGTAAGGTGAGGTGATGTGGGCAGGAGACAGACAATCAGCCAGGTGTACTAGTCTCTCTCAGGGAGACGCTCAGCCTCTAGGAGCTCAAGGAGAGCAGGGCTTGGGAAACTGGCCAAGCAGGTCTTGGACCTCAGGCTGCTCCTGGGGAGGGGGAGATGGGGAAGGCGGGTTTCCTTGGTCCCCTTCAGGGCACCCAGCTTCCTCTCCCTCACGCTCTGAGCTCTCTTACCTATGGTGTGGCCAGGGGCACTCACTCCTGTCCCAGCCCCATCTGGCGTAGGGTGGAAAGGCTGCTGAACTTTGGTCCGGATGATCCTGAAACAGCATTACAACAGCATCACACATCACGTGCCTCTCCTGGTCCTGCCACCACCAGCCCAACCCTGGGAGAAGTTCTCCTGAGCTCCCCTGCTCTTCCTCCTCCGTCTGCTCCCTGTAGCCCTGCCCTCACTGATGGCTACCGACACAGGTTTCCCTTCAGGCGGCTCTGCCAGGGCCAATCCAGCGCAGCTCTGGGCAGAGGCGATCTGTGCCCTGCTCCACCCTGTGCATCATTCGAACGGCTGCTTGACTTTTGGTGTCGAAGCTCAGGGCTGCACACTGAGAGGAGCTCAGCACCCTTTTCCTTTCCGGGGGTGGGGGAGTGGGGACTGCTGTTGGCTTGCTGTCCCCGTCTCCCTTCTCAATGACACACATATCTTCCGCTGGTAACAGGATTTCCTGGTTTGAAGACCATTTGGGAGTGGGGTTTCCTACTGGAACTATGTTACAGGCCTCCAGAGTCAGGCAAAGGGTCAGAATTTCCCCATCCCTGAGCTTAGGAGAATAAATAGCTTAGTTAAGATTACACTGCAAGTTAGGGTTGAATGCAGCCACCCAAACCTGTAGTTTTGGTTACTTTGCCATACAAGTAGCCAGGGAAGAGCTGGGTCACAGGGGACCCTTTATCCCCAGGATTCCAACATAGAAGATGGTCTTTTTGCCAGATGTCAGGCTCTGAACAACCTGTTTGTGAGTCTACTTATTGCCCTCAAGCAAGTCCAAGGCCTGTCCTCACTGGGCTGGCTGGTTGATGGCCTCATTTCCTGCCTGAGGGTCTTAGTTGGGTCACAGCCTCTTTCCAGGCCCAGTTAAAAAGCCTGGTGCCCCCTGTGCAGAGCTGGTGGAGAAGAAATTAAGCATCTCAAGGGGATGGGGGATGAGCCTGCTTTTCAGTGACTCAGAAGAGCCAGGCCCAGTGATCCGAAAGACCAACCCTGGGACGAGCACTGGGGAGTGGCCCCTTCCATCCTCTAGTCAAATTAGGTGCCCTTGGAAGCAACTTTTCCTGTGGCTTTGCCTCTTCCCTCAAAGAGGTTTGAGAGCCATGCTCACCTCAACCAGCCAGGTGAGTCACAAGCTATAGCAAACTCAGGTCTCACAGGCTTTTACTAAGCACTTGCAGGAAACAGGCATGAAGCCCCTAGAGTACCGGAAATTAAGTTGAAGAGAGAAGATATACACCCCTAAAAAAAAAAAAAAAACTAAGTCACCACACAAGGGGGCCAGATGGTAAGTGCCAAAAGGATTCAGAGATGAATCCCCATGTAGGTGGGGGGACTGGGGAAGAAGCCACTGAGAAGTTAGAACTTGATGTCGATCATCACAGCTGAGTGGGACTTAAGTTGGAGGCACACGGGATAGTGGAAGAAGTTCTGGGTAGTACACGTGGTTGGTCTGCTTGGCCACTCAGTGAGAGGCTGGAGGTTCACGTCCACCCAGAGGCACCTCGCAGAAAATACTTATAATCTACTTCCAAAAAAATCAGTATTTGAAAACCCTATACAGCACAATTCTACCCGAACACTCATGGGGTCACCATGAGTCAGTATCTGTTCACAGCATTTCATAGCTTTAGGACAATGCAAAGAGCACAGGGCTGCAGATCAGGGACCCTGAGTCTGACTCTATTAGTAGGAGGCCACATAGTCTTGGGCTTAACATTCAACTTCTTTGGTCCTCAGCTTCTTGAGCTGTAAAATAAAGGGGCTGGACTATAGGACCTCTAAATTATCTTTCCACAGTACAAAAATAATATGATTCTAAAATGGGCAGTGAAGCAGAGGGGAGGACATTATAAGCAGAGGAGACGCAAAGGCATCAAGGCTGGACTCTGTGTGATGTTTTCAGGGGTTGATACCTAGACCAATCAGCCAGAAATAGTGGAAAGAAGGCTGGAAGCTTGGCTGATGATGATACAGCTACTTTCCATTTACTGAGCACCTACTATGGGCCAATGTTATGCACAATTTATAGTATGTATACATATTCTTGTAAGTCTCACAGCAACCCCCGAAGAAGAACAAATAGCTTAGTTAAGATTACATTGCTACCTAGGGTAGAGTCAGTATGCAGCCTCCCAAATCTGTGCTTTTGGTTACTTTATCATACTTCCACCAACATATAAAGACCAGGTTTAGACGGTCTCAAGTCATGAGCGATATCTAATCTAGAGGGGACATGTATAAATTGATCCTCACAAAGCAATGTATAGGCACGAGGCATTAAGGAGTAGCCTTTGGAAAGAAAGGGAAGAATCTTCAAGACATTGTGATGGCAGAATGGCCAGAATTTGGCTACTAAGTGATGTCAGTCAGGACCCAATTCTGTGCATCTGGAAGGTTGGTGGTAGGTATCATTGACAGACACATGGGTGCAGGGAGGTGGCTGGTTTTAGAGCAAAGTGATAACGTTGGCCTTAGACAGGCAGCATTTGCACTGGCAGAGAAGCGTCCAGGTGGACATGTCCATGGGCCAGCTGGCACAGCAGATACAAATTTAGGAGATTATGGGGGAAAAAAAAAGGGAGTGCTGAAAAGTAGAGACACCTATGGTGCAGAGGCTGGAGGACACCTATTTTCAGAGAAAGAACCTGAGCTTAAGAAGAAGTCAGAGAAGAATTGTTCACACAGGAAATGGGAGAAGCTGAACAGGGCAGTTTTGTGCAAGTCAGTAGAGAAGACTGTTTCAAGGAGAACATATTTCACAGTGCCGAGTGACAAAGATTGACGAGAACTGGTGATAAGAAGAAATACAAATTTGGGGATTTTGATGACCATTGGTGACCTTGGAGAGAGGGTCTCAGCAAAGTAACTGACAGGACCCAGACAGAGAGGCTAGGAAGTGAATGGGGGACGAGAAGAGGGAGGCAGTAAAAGTGGATTGCTTCCTTCAGAAGCCTGTCAGGAAAGGTAAGGAGAGAAAGGTGTGGAAGCCAGAAGGTGGAACTGGCAGCTGAGTGGAGGGAAGGCCTCTCAGCACAGGAAACATTTGGATAAGTCCGAAGGCTGGGGAGGAAGAACCAGGAAAGAGGGAGAGAGAATGTGGATGGTCGAGAGAGCAAGGAAGAAGAGGCAGAACCAAGAGGGGGTGGGGCGGAGGGCACAGGGGAAGGAGTCAGCCAGATATGGCACATTCTGATGTGATCAAAAGCTTCCAAAAAGAGCTCCTATCATTTCCCAAAGCAGAAGGTAAGGTCATCTCCCAAGAGCTGAGGGGAAGGGAGAAGGTTTGGTGTGTGATCAAAATGGGAAAGATTAGAAAGTAGTTGTGGACAGTGTAGACTGGTCTACAAGAAAAGTCTAGAAGGATTTAAGCAGCTCAGAGCAGCTGTTCCCAATTCATTGCAGCAAAAGCTTCTGGGATCTCACTGGCACTGCGGGTGGCCCTGGCTTGAGGGGCTCTCGGCTAAGGGAACCCCAGTGCTGGGGCTTGGTGAGGCAGATAACTGGGTGGCCTTGCAGAGCTTCTGTCTTTGTTACTCAGGGCCTCTGACCCCAGGGCATTAGTGCAGATTTAGCTGAGGCAGCAAGTGATGGAAAATCACTACTCCCTGATAGCAGCTTGGTACTGAATGGGAAAGAAGTTGGGCAGGGTGCCTGGTGTGAGTTACTCATGCCTTTGGTGTCCACCCACACCCCCCAAACAGTGGGCATTTGCCAGTCTTCAGTGCTGATCCCAGGAAATTTAAGAACTGGGGCCCACGGAACTCTGATGGTTACCCGCCGCCTCCTGCACCCCTGCGACAGTCCAATAATTCATGGGAATTTCCCTAGGGGTTAGAGGGATGAAGTGATGTAGTTGCACTAGACAACCGCCTAATACATTTCATCTTCTACCACCTTCTCCTTCTCCAATTCTTTTTCATCCTCAGCCCCAAAGAACATCCACATCCTCCATGGCTCTAGGCAGGTTTGGCCTGGGAGGTCAAGTCCTTGGATATGAATCCTTGGAGACGCAGTTAGGAGCACTGGAGGGCACATCGCCACTCGGGAGCTGGGAGGTGCTATCTCCTGGCTCCATGGACAGACTGCTCTGCCAGATGTCTGCTCCTCACTTCTCTCTCCAGCATGCTTTCCTCCATAGGGATGAGCTTCCTCTTCCAGAATATCAGAGGAGAGGATGTCCTTCTCCTAGGAGCCTCCAGGGCTTTGGCATGGGGACTTGCAGGCACTTAGAGTCTCCCACATTCACAAGGGCATGAGGATAGCAAAGGGAATCAGGGTGTGGGCTCTGGGGTCAGTCTGCCTGAGTCTGAATCCCTTGGTGGTTTCTTAGTTTCTCATCGGTAAGGTAAGATAATAATACTATCCACTTCATAGGACTGTTGTGAGGATTAAATAGGATAATCCATGTAAAGGAATTAGTGTGATGCTTTGCTCAATAAATGTTGGTTACAATAATAGTAGCTATCATTATTATTAGTATGGGTAACCCCTAGGCTTGGCTGCTTTCTATTTAGGGGCTAAGCCAGATACAAGCAGCCCAAGAAGCCTGCTCAACGCAGGTGCTACTGAGACCCAGGAAAGAGCGTCAAACAGAAAGTGAGCCACACACAGCAGCAGCAGTAGGTGTCCCAGCCCTGACCCCAAAAGTAGGTGCATTCAAAAGGCTAACAGGAAGGCTTTCCTGGGGACTAGACCCACCCTGCCTGGGGGCTCTGCAAAGGGTGCACAGAGGGCACAAGCAGTAATTCCTCTAGGACCAAGAGATGCTAGGGGGTAACGGCAGGGCTTTAGAGTAAAAGATGGCAAGGCAGGTAGTGAGGTCACCTCTCTTTGGTTCAATTCCTAGAAAGCCTCCACCTCCCACCAAGTTGGAGATCAAAACACTCTCATCCACCCTGTGAGTTAGGATGGCAGTCATGTATGTCATCGGTCTTCTATTAACAGTTTGTTAAACTCATGAAGAAACAGAAAAGCTCTCAAATCTTCTTAGAAAGCACTAGGGAGTCTGTAACTCCTATTCTAGTTGTATTTCCTCTTCCTCATTCCTCT